GCGGCTTTCGTATGAGTGATGCCAACCTTGCCCCTCATCACCCATCATGTACTTTCCAGCTTCAATATGTAATCTTTGCAACAAGAAATGTATTGCCTGGGTCTGTCTGTCATGGGGTTGCTGGAGTGATGGGGATGTTAATATAAGGAAGGCTTTGCTATCTCCTGGGTAGGGGGCAGATCTAGAAATATAGACATGGCAGGAAAAAAAGGCATCGTAGGGAATAGTTAGGAGAAAGGTAAAGCAATATCCTTCAATTTTTATATTTACCCTAAGTGATATCCAAAAAAGAATCATTTCATTCCATGACTTGTTTTGTCCCTATCAGCATTCAAACACCATACCTGAGGTCAATTGACGTCACCAAAGTCTGCTTTGGATCACTTGCGTATATTGACACCTATAAAAGTCTTTTTTTCTTTTCTCCTTTCTTTCTCCACTTAGGAGGAAATTGAGAGTCACATTTAGGATTTTATGCCAGGGACTCAGAGTGTACCTGTGAGTTATGTAAGAGAAATGCACACGCTGCCTGCCATGGACGACTTTTGTGAGGGGCGGTAGACTAGCTGCCTTCTACAAGGCAGGAAGCCTGGACCCTGTTAGCTAATGCTCTTAGGGGTTGACTACACTTGAGGAGGGTTAGATGAGAAGGCTCGTCTTCTAGATTCCTTCCAAATAACCACTGTATTATTTGAAATGATGGCAAGGCAATGGCCAGGTTCCAGTAATGTTTTCCAACAAGAGACAAATGCTAATATTTACAAGATTAATTCTGAGAGCCAAGAAAAATAACCTCAATATAAAGAAATCTTGAAAGCCTCGACAGTCAGCAGCCTGCTTAGAAGGTAAATAAATGATAAAGTATATACAAAATTTACCTGTCTTTTCTTGGGGAATGGACTGCTCAGAATGAAACCAGGTTTCACAGGGTTCCTGGTCATTGGGTTCTTCATTCAATACCCTCATCTTCTAAATGTGCATTTCTGAATAACTCTTTTAAGCAGTCTGTGCCCTAATTTTCTCATTTGAAAATGAAAACATGAATGACAGATACCTCTGTGGACATCTCAAAATGGCAAAATTGATCAAACTAGTGTACAAACTGGAGAGCCATGTGGAAACTGTGATGCTATACAAATTTCCAAGCTGTGGTTCTAAGTACACAATTATCCTTCTGTGTCCTTGGCTGGGGGGATTGCTGAAAGATCCCTGTAACATCAACACATTGTTCAGATCCTTACATAAAATGCCATGTTTTCTTGAAGCCTCTGAAATCTTCTTATATGCTTTAATCATCTCTAGACTGTGTATATTACTGGATACAGTGTATAAATTCTATGTTAATAATGAATATACTGCATTGTATAAGGGACAACGAATAGCAGAAATATCCTTATCCTCTCCAAACACCATTTCTTTTAAGCTCATTTAATTCACAGTTGGCTCTACCCATGGATGTGAAGAAGGACAAGGAGAGCAGGCTCTAGGTTTTCAAGCAACCCTTGAGGAATGAAAAGGAGCCAGAGACTTTTCTATCTCTGGACAGGTAATAGTGCTCAGACCAAGGTGAGCAATGGAAAATCAATACTTTGCAGATCTGGCTTTTTCAATCAGAAAACATTATATTAAAATAATTTCATAATTAGATGCAGTAAGAGTAATATTCTGTGCCTTAGATATCAGGACACCAAATAAAGTGACAGTCAGTTACATTGTCAAGTCACAAATATACTATGGAAACCATGTCTCCGCATCCTTAAATGTCTCTTGAAACGTAACTTTAAACTTCCACTTCCTATAGCGATGTTCTGATCAAAGTTTTATAAATTTTTAGATACAAAGATTTATAGATTTTTACAGATACAAATAACCCTTTTGTCTTTTTGCAAGTTACCTCATGCTATCTTAATATGAATTCTAATAAAACTTTGAGCCATGCTCCTGCATAAGAAACTTATGGATGATGTGTCTTATTGTCATTCTGATTCAAAACTCCATGAGGGTCAAAATGTATTTCATTGCTTTCTTCAATAAAAAGCAAGAGAAAGGAAGGGATTATTATAAGATATTTTTTTCTTCTCAATTACACTTTGGAAAACAATTTTAAAAGACCAAAACTACCCCTTGGTTAGGCAGCTTGATTCTGAATACCTTCACATGTTTTCACATGTTCCTGTCTGTCCTTTAAAAAGGACAGAGAAATAAAGCATCAAAATTAGAGTTGAGAAAATAATTCCACCCATCTTTCTATGGGCTCACTTTACGTTGTATGGCAGGAAGCATCTAGGCAAGTGTAAAGAAATACAATTAAAATATCATTGCCTTCTAACACATCCTGCTTTCCAATTCTGGTCTCAGTGCACAAGAACAAAGAGAAGTTGCCCATGGATGTGCATTTTTAAAAAGGGTCAAAGCCCATACATGAAAAAGAATATTCAAGCGGTGCATGACAAGGTAGGGCACATGGCTGAGGGGGCCCAGTCTTAGGGAGACAGAGCTTCCATTCTTAATTCCGTTTATAGAGAGGTTACAAACTCAGGTAAAAGACTTCTGGAAATGAAGAGACAACCACAGCCAAGAAGGAAGCAAAAGAAACATTTTTGAGTCAAATAGAAATTTCCTGGTCACTACAATCTTAGCTGAGGATACTGCGGAGTGTTTTATTTGAACAGTTTTGTTTGTGAAGATTATATTTTATGGAATAAATGTGATAACCTTCTACACTGTAGGTGAATTAAAAAAAAAAGAGCTCTTTGGTCCTTCTTGAAATGCTCACCTCCAAATACAATGCCAGTTCCAATGAGGTTACCACCCTCACGGCATAGCCTTTTAAAAATGGCATATTTGAGATTTAGGAGTATTTGTATACACAGGTGATGATTCATAACACACATTTTAAGGAAATTATCCATAAATCATCAAGGACAATAGCTTTTATTTTATTAAACTTGTTTGGGAAGAAACTGATTGTCTATTTATCACTGGAGCATTTCTGTAAGTATAAGGAAACCAAGTTTTTTATTATTCTATCACTATAGCTTTCCACACTTGCACATCTTAGGTGCTCAGGAATTGGCCTGTTATTTTTTAGAAAAGAGTTAGTTTAAAAATCACACCATAGTTTAGGCTGAAAACATCACTATGGCAACCTACAGATGAAGATGTACCACCTCTGTCACTGAAAGCACACATAGGAATACTTAGAAATTGATTTCTCTAGGATAATTCAGACTCATTTGATGCATATTGAGAGAATTGTACAATAAACACTGGCTGTTCCTGACACCATCACACAAAAGAAATTCTTGCGAGTTGGATCTAATATAATCTTCTCAAGGAAGCTGGCGAGGACACACTGACCTGACAAATAGATTTTTTCTGAGCTGTTAAATACTTCATTAAGATGACTGAATAAATAGGATATTGCATGATACTAGTTGTTCATGGCTTGAACAAGCATACTATATACAGTAATTTTTTTTCTATATTGCACTGTATTGCTCCATGGTAGTATATAAAGGTTGTGTGTTGAGTATCTAAGAGATATAGCTAGCCTGGCATGGTGGCTTATGCCTAGAACCCTGGCACTTGGGAAGCTGAGATAAGAGAATACCCTTGACTTTAAGTAGAGTACTGTATACTGTATACTGGACTATACAGTAAGTTCAAGGACAGCTTGAGTGGTATCCTCCTCAAAAACAAAAACAAACACAAAAACGAACCAACAGGAGTGTAACAACAAAGGACTCTAAAATCAGGGATGAAAGTATAGTTTTCAAGTTAATTTGAAAAAGACTGTCTTTGCATTTGCCTATTCATTTCATTGCTGGTCCAGCACACATGTATTGAACGCTACAGCTATAAAGCCAGGGGCTACAGGATGTGATGATAAGGACACCATTATCTCTTTCCTTCTTTCTAACCATGATGCTGTAGCTTGTCCTCATCCCCTTATGCCTCAAACCTATCAGAGTCCTCTCAGTGGGAAGTCCCACCCTCAGCAAGCTCCACTGTGTTCAGACAGAGATAAAAAGTCCTTGTTCAAGAGTGTCACCACCACTGCTACCCACAATTATGTAGCTAACAGATATCAGGTCTTGGAACACTGGCTTTGTACACTCTATACTATTTTATAATCCTCACTGTAACCCTGAAAGGCAGGCTTATTTTCATTTCATTTTCAATCACAGTGTCTTATTGATAAGATGTATGTCTCCTCGGAGCACTACATAGCTTCTGAATTTCCTGGTTCAGTCGAGAAATACATGCAATTTCTTTTCCCATTCTCATGGAATTCTGCAGAGTTTTCATGGAATTCCCAGAGGCTTTGTATCAGAGCAACTGCAGAGGATTCAACTTAGTGAAGAAGACGTACAATCTTTAAGAGGGAGACAGGCTGTGCTAACGGTGAAACAGAACCGCCACAAGCTAATGGCTTCTGCAGTGTTTGACAGGCAAAGCTACCCTGTATGTCAAAGAGTACTTATATTATCTTCGTATAACCCTGTGAATTTATTTGGCACCTCAGAAGATAGCTGGAAAAATTTTCTCTAAGTAAAAACAATCCCCTTTAAACATCGCCTTTCCATACTTCTCATTTGAAAGGCTGAAGGGGTGCTTTGCACTGTTCTTTCTATAAAAAAAGAAATATGCCTCTCTAATCAAGCCCTTGAACTTAGTTACTTCTAATGTTACTTAAGCTAATAAGAAGAAAACAATTTTCCCTCAATAGGTTAAAATACTGACTGTTCATAGCAAGATATCCATGCATTGAGTATTTTGCCCATAAAAATTAGGGTAGTAAAAATTATGCTGAGAAACAATATCAAGACTACAACCAAGTCGGGGAAGTCATACTAACTGCCATGGTGCTTGGTGCGTGGCTTGCGAGGGCACTGATTCCTCCTAATCGGACTCTTGTCCTTGAGAAATGACAGGACCAGCTGCTGCAACCCTACTACAAAGCATGAAGAAGTCCTTGTGGCCCCCCCCCCAGTTACCTGCTGTTTCTCTGTCAGCCGAGGTCAGCTCTCCGTTGATCCCGTTCTCTTTGGTATCTGAATAGGTGCCCTGTGACCCGTGCTCCCCGAAGGCGCCCTCCTCCTCCTCTCTGTATGGAAATCCATTGGCGCTGCGGCTCAGCCCTTCCCCTGCCCCGCCTTGATCCTTCATCTCTGGAGGGTGAGGGTGTGCAGCTGCCTCTGTCAGTGAGGCTGACGTCCAGTGTGGCGCCTTCCCATCGTCCTTCCGCTCATCAGCCATCCTTCAGAGCTTTGTACTGTCTCCTGAAGACAGAAGTGTGTGTGTTAGTTCTCACTTTGGGGGCAGTTTCCTGATCTAAAAACATCAGTGGCAAAATAGGGGAAATTTGAGGTCAAAACAAATTTCAAATTAAGGGGCTTGCTTTATTGATCACCATGCTTTAAAAAAAATAACAGATATTATTAATACAACAGCTTTCCCATTTTCATTGTTTTTGCAGAGCATTTCTGGAATGTTCCATGAAATTATATATATTCTCTAAAAAAAAAAAATAAAACAGCACAAAAAGCACAACCGTGTCTCAGGACACATGTTAACGAATGTCTGACACACATTCTAAATATTGACCCATTAGGCAAAGCATTGTGCCCTGGGGGAATTCACCGTGTGGGAAAATTAAGTAGAAAAAGGCAGGAAGAGAAACGGCTGGAAGAAATTTAGATTATCAGACCACACTCAACTACTCTTTAAAAACACAACTTTCAAGAGAACCAGGAAGAGAAAATGGCCAGCACTTACATTTCACTAGTATTTATGCCAAGCCAATTCAATAATTTTCTGAGTACTGTAACGTAATGAGTGAAGGTTACAGACTAAATTTTCCAACAAACACAATACCTATAATTTGAGAAAGTCTGACGTTTTTCTACAAGTACAAATCTTGCAGTTAAGAAATGAAAACAATAGTGTTAGAACCATGTCTTCTTTAATGACATCATCTCATTACTAAGTCAAGTAGGATCTGAAACACTAGGGCATTGACGTGAGGGAGGAAGCTGTGAGTTACAGCACAGGATGGATTCGCTGTGGAGGAGGCATTTTCTTAACCTTACGTGAATGGCAGATACCGGATGACCTTCTCTTTCTTACATGCGGATGCTAAGTTTAGAGACGAGAATCTGACAGGGTGAGTCACCTGCAGTTTGATGTAGTCTTATTGATGGCTTATTGTCCCCACACAGTGGGTGACAACATACGCAATGATTCTAATGGAAATGAGGAACATTTTTTTTTTTTTTTTGTAAAGAGTAACCAAAGTGAAGACTTCCGAACAAACAAAGGCAGTGTTAGGAAGAATCTACTTCTTGCTCCCAGCTGTCTATAGATCCCACATTTAAATTAAGCTGTTATGGAAGCAAACTTTCCTACCAGATTTCTAAGAAGCACTTATAGTTTACTGCATTTATATTTATTATTTGTGTGTGTGCATATGAGCAAACATGTGCTGGGGTGTTCATGTGTATGTCAGAGGACAGCTTTAGGGGGTCGCTGGAACCTCCTTTTCCACTTGATGTGGGTTCTGGGTACTGAACTGAAGTCATCAGGCTGGCTCCATTGTCTAACAAGCACTTTTAGCTGCTGAACCATCTTGCTAGCCCTGCTTCTGAACTCACTGCTTTTCTTTGCTTTTGAGGCATATCAAAACCACAAAAACCAGAAATGAGACAAGTTAATAAGTCCATTCATCTATCTGATTCTAACACCAGAGTGCCTCCAAATTTGTTTCCAAAGTATTCTGTTTATCATTTATAAAATCTCATTTAAGCAACATATACAGAGCTTAGATTTAAAAATGTGGATTGAAGGATTCATGAACAAACCAGGAGTATCTATATTGCATACAATGCGCAAAGAACTTAGTATACCAAAGTTTTTTCCCAACAATTCCTAGTTTCAGTGATTACAAAATTAAAGCAAACAACGCAAAGAAAACATTAGTAGTTACATTTGTTATGATTATAATTGCCCCACCATTTATTAAACCACCAGTAATTACATGTAATCATTTTAGAGATGAAGTGAATTATCCAGATTCAAATAGCCACATTCTGGATACAGAGCTGCCTTCCATAGCATCTGAGTCTCTGTTGTGGCTCAATGTCTTACTATTCCTGATTTGTGTGTGTGTGTATGTGTGTGCACACACACACAAGTGCACATGTGAGCACAGAATAAATAGTGAATACAGAAAAAACTTACAGGAAGAAGTCTGGGCTTTTCTCATGTATTGTTTTAAAGAACAAATAGGCTTTGTGTCCTATATACTTTCAGTTCTGTAGAGAAACCGAATGGGTAGTATAGCGTTTCCACAATTCATCTTTATAAGTTTCTCAAATTCTGAACATCTTTTAATAATATGACACATTATAGTTAATAAAACAATTATCAATACATTATTAGCTAGTATAGTGCCCAGTATTGGTTTGCCTGTTTCTGGGTTCTAGCTAAGATACTATACTAAATTTAATTTCCAACTCTAGGTTTCTCTAAGACTTCTGGGTTGAAGAGTACTACTCAAATAAATCAAACAGTTGCACTCCATTGAAAATGCCTGTTTTTTTAATGACTAGTTCTGGTTTACATATTTGTGAAGGAAATAGCAGATAAGATGCTCGTCTAGGTGGAGGATGTGCTAGTTCACATGTGTGCACACCTTGAGCCTTCTCAGAGCTCCTTCCTAATCCACTGGGCATTTCCATTTCAGAGTGATATGACAATACACAGGGGCTGTTTCCTGATATCCTACACACCAGCGTGTGTAACAGGATCTGAGAAAGGCTTAAGTCTGTAGTGTACGTTCAACTCTGGAAGCTAAGACTTTATTTCTTAGGAATGAAGTTTAATGTAGAAACAAATGACAAATATCTGTGGTTAGGCATTTGTCTCTGTAATGGGTGTGCATAGATAAGTGCAGCATGCACAGAGTCCAGAAGAGGGCATCAGATCCCTGAGAACTGGGTCACATGTGGTTGGGAACTGCAGTCTGGGTGCTAAGAACCAACTTGAGTTCTCTGTGGAAGCACTATACACTTTTGCTCTTTAAAACAAAACAAAATAAAGTCCAAAACTAAATAAAAAACAACAACAACAAAAAAACCTCTAAACAAAAACTTATCAGTCGTTCCAGCACATCTGATCTGGGAGCTCTTGATAGTCAAAGCAATACACCAGGATGATAAGAACTCACTCCAGGGCTCTCTGGAACAAACATTCCAGTGAACAAAACCCTCACCTTTAACTACCAGACCAACATCTAAACAGACACATGCTTGTCAGTGGTCATCCACTCAAAGACTCACACCATTTGCTTTTAAACATTTACAGTAGAAATGTTTTAATGTTTTAAAATTTAGGCACTTTTAAAAATTAATAAAATACTAATTTTGGAAGAAGAGTTACCTAAGCACACAAATTTCACTTAATACCACATAAATCAAAACCCTAGGCTAGAAAGCATGACCTGACTGCATGAGAAGTTGCAGGGTGCTCAGACATCACTTCCTAAGTCTGAAATGTGTGTAGTCTGCCTATTAAGTGTCAGCTCTCATTGTGTGACAGAAAATATGATTGGAAAAGGGTGTTGCTGCTTTGGAGGAAAAAAGCTTCTTGCATCAAAGGAGACACCATTTGATCATGCTTATTAATATTCACAACTGATTATTAAAGTAGGATGATGCATTTTACTTAAATTCTAACAGAAATTTTGGGGTCACACTTGTACTTGTGTTTCAAGTTGCCAAGAGCTGGACTTCTGATAGCTAACCTTGATTGTTAATCTGATACAGTTGGAAAGATGGGACTTCATTTGAGGAACTACTTTCATAAAACTGGCCCGTGGGCATGTGTGTGGGATAACTTGATTGCTAATTGATGTCAAGTTCACTGTGAGCAGTGCAACCCTAGGTCAGGTGGATGTGCACTGTGTAAGAAAGATGGCGGAGGTAAAGCAAGCCAGTAAGCAGTATCCATCCATGTTTTCTGCTATAATTTGTCCCTGCTTCCAGGTTCCTGCCTCTGCTTTTCTTGATGATGGACTGTTAGCTGTAAGATGAAATAAACACTTTCCTCCTCAAGTTGCTTTTGCTCAGTGTTTTTATCACAACAAGGAAAATCAAAGTAGGTAGCAAGGAAAGAGCTTGGTGAAAAAACTAAATACTATGGAAAAACTCAATTCATGACTTCAAGGTAAGTGTATTCCAATTTTCAATTACATAGACTTTTTAAGTCTAACGTTTTTAATTAATGTATGTCCTTGCAAAGTAATTTTGTAGCTTATGGGTTGGTCTGCCCATTTTCAGTGCTTACTGATACTGAACAAAGCTTTACAACATTATCTTATATTTCAATATATATTTTAACATTTTTCTAGGTTTAAGGTTACACTCTAACTTTCAAAACTTGATCAGTTTTCTCAAGTATGTGTCTGAATGTATAAAAGGATTCATAATTTTGTGTTTGTTAAAAAATAATTAAAGTTGGCCACAAGCAGCCCAAATATCTGTCTCTAAATATGAGAAACTATTATTTAAATATTGTTTTATTACATTATTGACCCTTGCAGTAAGGGTCTGTACAATGAGATAACTTGCATTGAATTTAGAAATAAAATAATAAATTTTGCTTATGTCTGATCATTCTTAGTCGAGCAGACTGTGTGTACATTCTTACATTCCATTTGTCAGGAGTGTAATGTTCTTCTCTAACTCCCCAGTTCTAAGTTCTTGCTATTGGCTCTTTATTATTACTAGTTGGCAACATTTATCAAATCTTTTCTGAAATCAAGTAGGAGTTCTATAACAAGCAAATAACTATTGTCACCACGGCCTTCCAACTTTGATTTCTATGAGAAAGCCACATTGTTCCCTCCACAATGAAGCTCTATGCATGTACACAAAGTGCAGGAGATAGAAACAGAATCAATTAGTCCTTCCTATAGAAAAGTTTCTGCAAAACATCAATAATTTAGATTGTTGTGATAGATTATAGATGGAGACACTCTACCAGAAAAATGTGCTTTCTAGAAAAATTTTTAGTTTTAAAATACATTTTTGTTCATCTTTCCTGTAATATTCTTTTAATCATTTTCCACACAGACGACAACTTTTGACAAATGCCCAATGAGTTCTATTAGTGATGCAGGGTAACAGGCTTTGTTCTCCATAAAACTAGATGTGCACATTCAGATCCACTTCACATCTCAGCTGGTTTAAACTACACAGTGTTTTCCTGTCCCTCCATCTAT